GGTGACAAAGGTACGAACCCTATCTTGTTTGTGGCTCAGTGGGTCAGGCCTATTTGTCTGTGATAGGAAGGTTGCCAGGTTGAATCCAATGATCAGAATAATCACATTGCCTTGAGCTCCGCTTCACTCCCACCTTTGTGTGTGTGTGTGTGTGTGTGTGTGTGCCCCTTCAAAAGGAGAGCATGATGGGATAGGCAGAAACTAAAACATTGCTGTGTATCTGTACGAATGGCACATACAGCTTCACTTCAGCTCTGCTCGGCTGGAAATCACCGCTGTCACGATAGAGGCTGCGGTGTCCTCGCGTATGAGCCGAGCGAGCCAAAGGGAATGTAAATGAATGAAACGTGAGAGGGGTTTATGTGCTGACTGCAGAGCTGTGATAAGAGAGGGGCCTGGAGGCTCTGCAAAAAAAACCCAGAATGCAACTCACATGTGCAAATATGTGTACGGCAATGAACGCCTCAGCATCAATGCGGGGAAGAGGGGATTATGGCATAGAGGGGGTGTGGCCATCAGGAAGGGGAGGTGGGTTTTATTCTGGCCCCGTATCTCTGACGGCGTCAGGCATCTTCACACACACATGTATTTTGTTTCCAAGCATGTTGGGTTTGTGATTTGCGCCAGTCTTCTCAAAATGCCTCTTTCCGCTCATGTCAATCCCACCCCCCCATCCTCTAGAAGGAATCAAATGATGACTCCCTGCCCGGGAGCCCAGATCACGGAGATCCAGCCTTCATCCGACTCCCTGCCTGGGAGCCCAGATCACGGAGATCCAGCCTTCATCCAAGCTGATGGGATCCTCACAAGGCTCTGACTTCATGAAGTTCTTCCCATTGATTATGGCTTCAATAAGTGCTGATTACCACTGAGAACGTGACGGTAAGTACTCAAACCCTGAGCAAAATATTGAAGACCATGATGCTCTCTGCCTGTCCAGAAGCCAAGTTGAGCCTAAGCTCGAACTCTTGGACGTCACTTTGCACCCCCAGCTTCCGCAATGGCACCCAGTCCTGACCCGGGAGACACAATCAACACCTTCCTCCAAAGTGGGCCAGTGCCAGCTGCCCCCCCGGGCCCCCGGTACCAGCAAAGGCCACAGCTGTCAATCATCCGCTCCAAGTTCCACTCTCTTCCTGAGCCACTTTGTCACGGCAGTGACTCACATCCACTGAGCTCTCGCTGGACAAGATGAAACATCAGAAAACCGTACACTGACAGTCTGTCATAACCTCAAGCAGTTCTAGCATGGGGGCGTGGCAGAGTGCCGGCTGGGAGGAAGGTGGATGATCCACTGATGGCTCTAGTAAGATGGGGGTTTATTAACAGAACTGAAAACATAAGGAGCACTACAAAACAAAATGGACCAAGAGGGGTCAATAAGCAAATACGGAAAAACAAAGACTAACTACTAAAAGTCCGGGTAACAAGGAGCAGGCAGGCGAGGAATAAAATACAAAAATTGACCAACACGGGAACGTCTAACGTTCTCAAACACTGACTGAAAAGCACATGAAACACAATGACCCACTGGGGAACTGAGTTAAGGCAGGACAGGTGAAAACAATGAACCTGGGCTGGTAAAACAGGCAACAGGTGAAACTAATAAAACTAAATCATGAACTCAAACAAGGAAACAGAATCTAACAGTAGGGGAATAACACAGGTAAAACAGAACGACGGGCACAAAGCAAGAAACTCAAACTTAACAGAGAAACTAAGAAACAGAATCTAACACTAGGGGAATAACAAAGACAGGTAAAACACAACCACGGGCACAAAGCAAAAAACCAAAACCGAATACAAATCACAAAACACAGGAACTATAAAACTGATACAAATGAAACACTGGGGAACAAAATCTACAAAAATAGAGGAGGCGGGATTTGAACAAACAGCTGAGGGGTTTACAGGTAGCCACAAGCTCTGCTGATTGTGCCCTGTGGCCATCTGGGGAGCAGAGAAAACACACTAAATACTTTGACAACGGGGGAGGACAGGATAGCTAGCGCCATCTGCTGGCCAAATGGGGAGGAGACATGAAAGACTGGGACAGATGGGTGATGACCCTGACACACGCTATCCAGCCTGCAGAGACTTTCACTGACATTTTATTTATTTAGCACTTTTATCCAAAATGATGTACATTTCTGAGAGCTCAGGGTCAGATGGTACTTGGTTAAGGGTCTTTGCTGAGGGGTCCAACAGTAAAAGTACCCTCCTGACCCCAGGATTGGAACCAGCAACCTTCTGCACACAAGTATAACATGCTAACCCACAGAGCCACATACCACAGATACGTTGCTTACTGATTTTCCAGCTCCATTTTAATATAAAAAACCAAAAAGCCAGTCTTCTAAAACTGCTAAACCCACAACGTGACTCACTATCATTATTTATCAGCATGGTACGTCAAAGGCTGGTCAATTATATCAAACATTTATCTAGTAAATGTTACATTTTTATAAGTAAAAGGTTTGCCATCTTAGAATGCATAGAACCAGCAATGTCCAAAATGACCCTCCCAGAAACATGCAAAGGCAATTGTAACATACCGTACTCAAATCGCTCCTTTTAATCAAACTGCACTATATTTACCCAGGAACTGGCTGTCCTTATTGGGTTTAAATGCCCCTTTTTGTAGTCTTGTCTCTCTCAGGAATAGTGCCAGTATGAGGTCCACGTTGGTGCATAGTTCCAACAAAATGCTATGATCGAGCTCCTTACAATCATGTCAGAGCAGAATGGCCAGGCCCGTTAAAGCTACCAGGAAGAAATTACAGCTCGGTTCAGCAGTGGTGTGCAGAACGGCTTCTCTGAATAAACAACTCCTCTAAGCTTGAAGCAGTTCTCGAGGCAATAGTGGGTCCTACCTGGTACTAGCTAGATGTACCTAATAATGTGAGACCCACCCGGTACTAGCTAGATGTACCTAATAAAGTGGGTCCTACCCAGTACTAGCTAGATGCACCTAATAATGCGGGTCCTACCCAGTACCTGCTAGATGTACCTAATAATGTGGGTCCTACCCAGAAGTAGCTAGATGTACCTAATAAAGTGGGTCCTACCCAGTACTAGCTAGATGCACCTAATAATGTGGGTCCTACCCAGAAGTAGCTAGATGTACCTAATAAAGTGGGTCCTACCTGGTATAAGCTAGATGTACCTAATAATGTGGGTCCTACCCGGAACTAGCTAGATGTACCTAATAATGCGGGTCCTACCCGGTACTAGCTAGATGTACCTAATAAAGTGAGTTCTACCCAGTACTAGATAGATGTACCTAATAATGCGGGTCCTACCCGGTACAAGCCAGATGTACCTAATAAAGTGGGTCCTACCCGGAACTACCTAGGTGGCCCTAATAAAGTGGCCACTGAGTGTATGTAACATATGATAATGGTGTGACAGCTCAATAAACATTATGTGGGTCACCTTCTGAAAACTGGCTTCCACTTGTCAGCGTGCAAATGTCACCAGCGTTCTCATTAAATGCTTAGCCAATGAGGGCTCAAGTGGGAAAACCCCCATTAAGAGGAAAGAGAGGAAAACAAAGAGTTACCCCCCCCAGGCCACCATCAAATGGGAAAGTGGATGGAATGGCCTGTGATCCTGGTCTCGTCAGTACAGGCCGCTGTCAGGCTGCTTCTCCACACACATAAACGGAAAGGAGGTGAGAGAGGCCGGCCTGCAATGCCAATGCCGTTAAGGGTAAAAAAAAGTGCAGCGGAGGGCCATACAAAGCGTGTCCCCAACCGCCCCCCCCCTATACCACAGCCCTAAAAGGGGCCAAGGACAACCAGCAAAAAGGGAGCGTGTCAGACGGGCAAATAAACAAGAAGCTGACAAGGGGCCCAGAAAAGCCCCCGTGGGATTAAAGAGCGCATTCTCTGATACCCCGGGAGCCCCCCAGGGGTCCTCAGGCAGACATGCAGGGGATTAAGCTCCCCCAGGTGCTATCCAGGCTTCCAGTTTCCCAAACATTACAAACAAAGGGGTATCCCTCACATATTTAAATCACTAACTCTGGGCAGAGCAGAAACAGGGCTGCACTGGAAATATGCACAGTATTTGTGATAAAATTTCATCATAAGACGATGCATAATGACGAATGTATTTATTAAGGCATGTACACATATACATATGGCATATAGTAGAAGATGCTTAAGGATTTTTAAGAATTACACTTTACTGCGAGTGTTGTTTGCAGGATTTAATGATGATTTCAGCCCTCTTAAGCTAATCCTGCACAGAAAGGTCATACGCCGCCGCCAGTTATTCGCGTGTGTGTTGCGTTGAGTCCCCCGTGCTCAGGGACAACACCCTTCGGATCAGCCCTGCCAGTCAGCGCTCATCTCGGCTCCTGTGAATGACTCTGCCTAAGCTGGCACCCCGGTGCCCGGCCAGGACACACCCCCGTGCCGGCGCCTAAAGGCAGCCCCCCATTTCGCTTGGAGTCTGACATTCGGACACTTCAGGCTCATGTCACATCTCATGTCTTACTGTCTCTGCACTGCTCGCAATGTCAGCCTTTGCACGTAGGCTACGCAAAAAAGCACGGCTTGATAATTGGTTAAGTAAAATGCTATTCAAGCCTAAACCCTTCATTAAATGACATGTCTATTTTTAAGTTATTAAGAATATCAGCGTATTGATCGTTTTAAATCACACTTGTGCGTGACCGACTGAAAAGCAACAATCATTAACGCCTTTGGAGCCGGAGGCTGAGACCCGTGAAATGATGGACTCTGAATTTACGGGACAAAAACGCGAAACGGGGCTGGAGGTCCGGGCGTCGCTTTTAAAATGATTTTAGACTAAAGAGCACAAACAACGAGTAAAGTGACAAGCCGGGGTGGTGAGATAATACAGCTTCTGCATTGCGGTACCGCGGAACACGGCTCGGGCTGCCAGCGTCTCCCGCCCGCCGCTAAAAACCTCCATTTCAGCCGGGAGACGAGCCTTTACAATAAAGTAAGGTAATAAAAAGCCCCGCTTACCCGCCGAGCCGGGCTGCGCCTCTCAGTCTTCCGCTCGGCACACCTGGCTCGCTGGTACATCCCCAGACATGGGAGCCAGAGCAGCATCAGCGCCGCTTGTAGCAGCGCATTGGCGACCGGCTCGCTTTTCACGCCCTAGGGGGCGCTCACGCCGCGGCCATTGGACGCGGGGACGCGGCCGTGTGCGCGCTCGACTTGAGGAAGCGGGCACGATGCGCTGATATGCGGGGACGCGGAGATACATCAAAATCTCCTTGTCTCCTTAAAATCGCTGTGTGTGTACATACATGTGTATAATACCTCTGCATATGGCATACATAATCGTTTAGGCCTCTATATGTATGTTTTCCCTATGCCTATATATTTGTTTTATTTTTAAGGATTTTATTTATATACATAGACGTATTATTCTATGCAGAGAGGATGTTGGGCGTATGGCGTGCTTATGCTATTTTATTAAATTAAAACTATAACTAAATCGAGCTACGGCCCAGAGTACATCGGGGAATGAAAATATAAGCCGATAAACGGGCCGCTTTGTGCCGCCCCGGGCTGTCATGGCTCCGGGTGACGGCGACGACATCCAGCGCGCAGCAGCGTCCTATTCGCGGGATTCGGACGCCGATTGGGGTGGATCCGTGTAGGGCGGTCCGGAGAAGATCGGGGCGTTATGCAGTTTTTCTCTAATCAGTCAGTCTGTGGCGGATTCTCTTTATACGCCGAGAAGACATTCCAGAGACGCGAAAAATAACTAAATATAATAATTATTGATGGACAGTGAAGACAACCGACGAGACACTTAGTAATAGCGAAAACTGAGATGAACTGTGTTAATAATCAGTGATCAGATCTTAATATATATAAAGATGGGGTTGTTGAAAGTGGCTGGATATTCGGGTTCAGTGTGACTTAATTTCTCCATATAGATCTCATGATGATTATTGTCACTTTAATCAGTACCTGGGGTGTTAACCCCAAGACTACAAAGTATGAAACACGAAGCGTATAAGAAATGTCTCCAGCCGCAGGTTAATGGAAAGAGTGCCCTGAACAGATATCTGAAAAGGTTTAACCAAACGAGGAGACCATGGAACAGGCCTGTGACAGGGCATTCTGCAATAGAATAAAATAAAATTAAAGAAGAATATCAGTTTTCCGGAGCTGGGGGTGGGGTAGATGATAGGCGCAGAGGGGTGAGGTTGGGGGTGGGACAGCATCATCTCACGGTCCTTAGGGATGGTGGCTATAATCCGCAGTGCAGTAATGAGAATGAGACGGGTTGAGATGTATTCGTACCAGATCAAAGGCACAAGGCCCTAACATTAAATAAAGCTTGGGTGCGAGGCGCCCCCGCAGAGATCAGCTGGAAACACTTTTTCTCTCCGTCATTTGTCTTTTTCGTGTATAACCTACAGCTGATTTTGTTTTCATTGCTCAGAATAATGGTAAAATCTTGGATGTCTCCTGTGTCAGGGTGTCAGATTCAAGGTGTCCAGCTGTTATTTTAAAACGGTACAACAGATCTTTCGCATATGTTCACGAGAAAAACCTGGATGTTCCCGAAGTTCCTGGATGTTCCTGAAGATCACTCATGTTTTCGATGGGAGGGCTGGAGAAGGGGGATTTTGGTCGGAAAACGTCAGCGAAGCTCAGCTGCACAGCGCGCTAATACATCAGCTGGGATCAATCAGGGGTTAATTTCGGTTCCTCTGGAGGGAAAAGCCAGTACGGAGAGATATGGGATGAATATTTAATGGGTTTTATGGGCATGTGGATATTTCAAGGGGAAGCAGCACACTAATTAAATTACAGAGTGTTATTGCTAAACGGACTCCTGCTGGGTGTTGAAAAGATATGATGAGCTGGAATTGTTGAATTATGTTAAAATGCTGATCAGCCGCACATAACTTGGTATTTAAGAGAAGTATTTATTAAACCGTAATATGTTGTTTCATTCTATGGTAAATAACAGAATTATATTCCAATACCTTAACGAGGGTCATTAGACCCTAATAACAGTTTAAATTTACATATACATGCGAATCATAAATGGCCCGCAGAATTAAATTTAATCAGATTAAGCTATAAAACGAGACCTACGGCCGAAACGCCACATCACACCGTCATGCCGCCTGGCATGATTTCTGTTTACGGAGTGTCTCAACACGATGGATTGTGAAAATATTTTCCATTAGTTGCGACGTAATGGATTTTGACAGAAAAAGAATGTAAACGACATTTTTTTAAAAAGTCATGTGAATGACAATGAAGTTCACATAATCCGTCAGTGATATTTTCTAATGCGCACGATAGATTTTTCTTTTTGTAAACACTAGATGGCAGCAGTATGTAAGAATTTAACGTTATTAGGTTCCGCAGGTGCCGTTACGCATGAAATGTTTCACAAAAACACTTATCAAAAATGTCTCATTTGCAAGTCAATGTGTACTTTATTCAATGTCATATGGCTCATGGAAAATAATGCAAATTCATTGTTTTACTCTAAATGTAATCCCAGTGCCTTTTTGCAGGTGGTGAAACATCTGGCATGTTATATGCAGTTAAATCATGGAAGTCACAGAATTTTCTTTACAAAAGAGAATTTCTCTGCTGTAAAAATCTCAATTTGCATTTTGATTAAAATGAGGTGAAAGAGAACAAACTGAAGTAAATTTAGTGTAATTCTGCCACAAAATGGGCTATAAAATATTGACCAGTTAAAATTAAGATGATGCCTTTAGATGCTATGTTCTGATTTCTTGTTTTTTAGTCAGACAAGTACTTGTGCCTAGATAGACAACCTGTACAAAAAAAGTTCAGACTTTGTGTGCAATGCAGCCAATCAGTTTCATCGTACGCACTCCATTTCAGCTGATGACGTAGCATAATCACAGGCGAGAGACAGGTCTTCACCTTTCCAGAACATTCTGTTTCGTTACGTGCATGTGGAGGATGGCTCTAGCCCTTACAGAGATGACTGTGTGTTTGCCTACAAATAACCATGAAGCACAGGAACAGATGAAGCCTGCCACTTGCTGGGATGAATTCATTTGAGTCATGTTTTCTCCAGGTTCTTGTGCAGTTTTAGCTAAGTAACTATTGATGTAACACTGACCCTAAATGGTGGGTCACAAAAGTCCTGTTTTATTTCAGGAAATAAGTGATTTTAAAGTAAAACTAAGGCATCAAACAATTTAGTGAAATCTTGAAACCAACATTTATTTTCAATTAAAATACAAAGTCTTTTGCGATAATATATCCATCCTTCTGGAACACATAGGGTTCCGCAGTGGCCCAGCGTGCTGTCCTCCTTCCCAGGACCGTAACATCACGCACGTACCTGGGATCCCGCCCGCACGTGTCTCCAGCCTTGGTGGATGGGTCTTTTTCTAACATTGCAATCACACGAATGTTCATGAGTCTTCAGACAAACAGTTGTGGCGGTCAGACCTGAAAGTCATGTGCTTATTTTCCCGGAAATAAGGCTGAGAATGACTAGCCTTACAAACTAATAAAATTCACAGCGAATGAAACTCTAATGAAGATTTGACACGTTTATTACAATGCACCCAGACAGTCCTGCCACCCTGCACACATTTATACACATTTTCACCTCCTGCTCCGGCCTGCAGTCCTGCCATCTATTAGGAAATGTACAAATTCCACAGGACACCTACTCACAAAAGCATAGTGAACTTAAAACTTGATGCAAGTTATGAAGACCCAAAATCATGGAAATCCGATACCCCCAGCATTCTAAACATTAACAAAAGCTCCTGCCCTCTTTAGGGCAGGTTACAAGGCTACGCCTGCTAAACTCTCTTTTGTAGGCAATAATGAGGAAACAAGCCTAGAAAGTAAAAAAGAAATAAAAACACCACTTTATAAACGATAACGGAGCCTTTCGTAGAGTTACGTTATAGATGGCACCTGAATTTCCTCTCCCTAAATAGCAAGTAGTCTGCAAGTTTTAATAAACTTCACGCAAAGAGCAACGATTAGGATGGAGGCACGTTATGTACAGTATCGTCGTTCGTTAACGGCGCTCCTTGCTGACCGTGTTCCTCTGCCCCTCGTCCTGTGAAGGTGACAAGCATGGATGCCCTGCCTGAGGGCAGCGGGTACTGCCCTCGAGCAGCAGCCGCCGCCAGGCGCAGGGGCACTGCAGACGCGGTGACACACGTGCATGTGAGGGGGGAGGGATGGACATGAGCCGCCGCAACACTGACATGCAGTGCGATGCTCTCCCCTGCATTAGTGCAACTGTGACAATAAAATGCTTGATGTAAAAAAGAAATGACACACATGGAATTTTTTTTAAAAAGCACATAAATTAACTGGAACCACTGGAATCGGGCGGGCCTGTGTTTGCGTACGAATGCTGAAGTGGTTAAATGTGAAAAGGGTGAACACAAAGTATTTCAGTCCAGCTCATAAAACACACATTCTTAATTTGCAGTCCATCCTTTTTTCCAATTATATATAAACAGTACCTGTCTTGCAAAAACGACATAACAACGAAAGCTATACATTTAGTAATTTTTCACAACATTGTCCCCGAGACAGTAAAGCCTTTTTTATGTAATACCAAGGTAACACTTTGACAAAGAAAACGATAAGAACTCGGAAGGCATGTTCGATAATTCCAAAGGACAATGTGGAGTCATAAGCGTCTCACTGCCTCCAGGTCATATGCAGCATTATTCCTGTGTTATAACGCACTCTAGACGACTATTGTACCCATGCAGTATATTAGAAGCTTATCATATCTGGCTTTAATGCAAGCCGAGCGCCAATTTTAATTTTGGGAAACAAGAAAAAGCTTGCAAAGAAGGAAACAGCGATAGAGCTCATCCGTGCCCCCCTTCCCATGGCCGAGGAGGCCACAGCCCTGCGCTAAGCACACTGCCCGTTTCTGATTGGACGGTAGTGTGCATGTGACGTGTGTGGAGGGGGAGGGGCAGCTGGGTGGTCACAGTGCAGTGGGACGGCCTGTGTGTCTTCCTACGGTCCGGGTTACACGAAGGAGTTCATGGCATTGACAGGGGAGGGCACCTCCGAACTGCGGTCACACTCGACCACGTCCCTCTCCCTCTTCCCGCTATACTGTCCAATAAATGAGCCGTCTTCGTTGAACTGTCCGTCTCCGCCTTCCCCGTAGTCAACTAAACTGTCATCACTGTCCTCCTTCCTTATTGTCCCACTGGGAGGGGTGAGACTTCCTTTTAACGGTTTATGGTCCTCAGTGTCACTAGGAGAAAATAACATGCAGGGGTTACAGGTGACAGGAAGGGTGACATGTCCTAAGGGATTAGTTAGCTTTTTGTGATGGAGAAAAAAATGTCAAACACAAAAAAACACATGCTAATTAACCATAACATACACAGGTACGCATGTTCTTCCATCATAAAGACATTAGACAACATGGCTTCCGTAGCAGTAACTTGAATTAGAGGGTGTCTTTCCAGTGAAGCAACTGATCCAGGATCAGATTCTGCCACCAGCAAATTCCCTAACTGTTCCCATTTTCATTACTTGTACGACATCATAATTACATTAAAGTGTCTTGTATGTGATTTACAAGACGTCTAAGTCGTGTTCCGGCAGTTTCCTTAGAGAAACACACCTACTTTCACTGTCTCACTTCTGTGTTTTCGTTTAATCGGAGTTGCCAGACTTCTCCAGTGATTAAATGGATCATGTTGGACCGTGGGTGACCCCACCGTCATGCTCCGAGTGTGCCCAGACCCCCCTCTAAGGCAACGCGCAGAGCGGGAGGGAGCCAGGAATTCAGGATGGAGCTGGGTTCCCGGGAAACGTTCCTCCCTCCACACTCGGGTGATGATGAAAACAACAGGACCAAGGCCATGATGCGAATCGAACAGGCGGATGGAGGGAAGCGTGAGGACACAGCCCACTGGCCGCAGATCCAGGATGCTGATGGTGGATGGCGGTAAATGAACAATGGGCACCAGCGGATCCCCTCACCCGGTGACGCTGGCTTCTCTGAGCAGCAGAGATATTGGGGGGTGAAGCCCCCCCACCACCACGGCGGGGCAGCGAGGAGGCGGGGACATACTTGCCACCTGACAGATTCCTCTTTACCTTTCACGGGCCCTGCTCTCCTGCAGCAACAAATGAGACTTCACCTACGAGTTCATCTTAGGGTAAGACGACCGCGACTTGTTCAGCCCGATCAGTCTGGAAATTTCTATGCCCTGGCCGAAGACTGAGAGGACTATGCCTGCTGGATGAGACTTGGGGCTGGCATTAAGAGCGGGCGATGACACGGGCGTGTGGTTTAGGCTGAGCTGATGCCCAACATGAGACTCAGCACCCAGCTTCTGCCACTGACATACTCTCCCTTTCCAGTAACGTCCATTATCATTACAGATCCACCGGCTGGAACCAGAACAGAGTTCTGCACGTGAACGCAAACGTCCATTTCAAAATATGACATCTCTACGCCAGCCAGCTGGGAAGTGGCTGGAATTCCTGTTTCCAGGGGAGACGATAGCATTAATAAATAACGATACGGAGGGAAAATAAGCAGTCAAGGGGATTTAAATACATAAAATCACTTTGCTCATTTAAATAATAACAAATAAAAAGATATAAAAACAAGTGTGCTTATATTCTGCCAAGCATGGACTTCAGACCAAAGCAGACAAGAACAAACTAACACTATATAAATATAATATGATGCTTAGATAAAACGTGTTTCTTATTCGCTACCATGAAGTGAGATACTGTGCCTTCTGCTCAGATCACTGCTTAAGGGACTGAGGCTAAATTCCCTGTTTATTACAAAAACAATGTGAACCCGTAGACTGCTGCATTTGTAATATGTGTGCCGGTTATGCCAGGTTACGCACATGCAGATCCCTACAGACCTTACACTGGCTAGCGATACCGTCACAGAAAGTCGCGTTTACGTCTCTAGCCATGCACTACACAGCGAAGGAGCTTGGGGTGTCATTCAACTACACAGCATACTGAAAGATATCAAAGGGACAATCACTAAACTGTACACACAGCTTTCAAAAGGTGACACACTAAAAAAAAAAAAAAAAAAAAAAACAGGAAATTCTCAAGTTTAACAGAAATAAAGTGCGTTTAGGTGAAGAGAAGGAGGAGAGGCAGCTATGCGGAAGCAGGAAGCTGGTTATTCTGGCAGGTGCTTTCAGTTCTGCACCGCTAATCAGAACATCCACGTATACAGGAGTGTGCGCTCTATGCATTAATCATTATCTAGGCTGGCTGCTCAGCATGAGGGACAGTTTTGGCTCGCTGGGCTTCTCAGAGGAGTGAAACAGAGACATGGGGAGGAGCATCTTCCCAGAAGTGGAGACGGCGCGGGTCCCCCTGCTGGTCCGTTAAGAGAACGCGGCGAGCGAGGCCGTCCCGTCCCCCCATCCCGCCTGCTTGTGCTTTCGACTGGAGAGGGTCGGCAAAAGTTCCACTTGAACAAAAGTCTGGCTGGTCGAGTTCAAGCACAACTGCAGGTTGGAGACGGACACTCCTCATAAACGAAGGAAGAGGCCCGAGGCGCAGTGTAGAGGGGCAGGAGGGGGGGGGCGTGAGCACCGGGGGAGGGAGGCACGGTTACACTCTCACCTGTACTCCCCAAACGTCCCGTCGTCGTCTTTCATTGGCTGAATCTCTGGGTCGGCGTGCGCGTCTTCCTTCTCTTTCACTGGGGGGATAGCGATGTCAGTCATGGACCACTCAGGACCGGGGGGCCCACGGCGGGGCACACAGCGGGGTCACCTACCTGGATACTTTCCCCCTTTGTTCCTCTTGATGAAGCAGACGATGAGGAGCACGAGGATGAGGAGAGCGATGGCACACATGAGACCGATGAACCAGCCCTGCGTGGCGATGTCTACTTGTCGGCTGGCCATGGCTGATCACAGCACCCAGAACAGAGGGTCACATGGAGCAGGTCAGGTAACATGGCAGGGGTGAAGTCACACGGAGGGGGTGAGGTCACATGGCAGGGGTGAAGTCACATGCAAGTGGTGAGGTCACATGGCAGGGGTGAAGCCACACGGAGGGGGTGAGGTCACATGGCACGGGTGAAGTCACATGCCGGGGGTGAGGTCACACGTAAGGGGTTCAGAAGGGGGTTGTTTCTCAATACGAAGAACACGAAGATTGTACTTGGCAAGACCGGTAATGCTAACTTGCCTCCCAGGAACAAACTTCAGATGCAATGAATCATGTTCCCATTTGCCAAGGATACAACTGATATATTGATATTTGGGGCAGTGAAAGAACGACATCCGTACTTCTGTTCTTAGCATTGTACTGTAACTGGTCTTCGGCAATGGAAGATAACGTAAAAAGGGTATGAAAGAACACAAGTACGGCCAAGTACGTATATGGAGAAACACCCAGATGGAGCCTGCCTCCACCTGCCTCCACCTGCCTCCACCTGCCTCCACCTGCTTCCACCTGCCTCCACCTGCCTCCACCTGCTTCCACCTGCCTCCATCCGCCTTCATCTGCCTCCACCCCCCAAACTGAAACCAAACTCGCGATAAAGGATGACTCAAATACATAAAGTGTTAAACCAAACCAAAGTTAAAAACAATAATCTCTGCACAGATTTGTACACGATGAACTGATAACAAATTGTACTTAATTAATAAATTAATATTCAGGATGAAAAGGGATGAAAACATAGGTGCATAATTACTTGCTAAAATCTGGTTTAACATGCTTGGAGTACAAACGAAAGACATCAGTCAGCGATCTTGCTTTTAATCGTGCACAATTAGCCAATGGTGGCGTCTGCATTCCCGCCAGGCAGCAGCCTGCTTCACTACGTACTTTAATAAGACCTTGATTGCTGGACGACTGCAAACAAAAACACATGGATACAAACACACCAGAGCACACAATGAACAGAGGCTAAAGGGCCGTCCAGCTCATGTCCGGGGGACCGGATACAAACACACCAGAGCACACAATGAACAGAGGCTAAAGGGCCGTCCAGCTCATGTCCGGGGGACCCTTCAGCCCGAGGGTCCACCACCGGCCCATCATGCATTGCGCCGCCATGTGGGCGCTTCCATCCAGCCCCTTACAGCCACACTTCTGCTGGGGGAGCCCAGCTCGGGAGCCTTGGAGTTGGGCCTGCGGATGGGATTCCAACCTGTGGCCGTCCAAAGAAACACTGGCATTCCCGCAGGAATTCCGGGGACAGCGAGACATGCGGAATGGATTCCGGCATGCATGTTGGCGGTTGGAGATGCACGCCGGGCACAGAGGACACCGGGGGCCAGTCCCTTACCTGGCACGCTGACCCGCAGCTCCCCCGTGCTGCCGGCCACCTGCTCAGAGTGGTCTTTAGCCACAACGCGCACTCGGAACGACGTCCCCGGCTTTAAGCCCTTAATAGTGTGTGTCTGAGAGCCATTTACCACCTCTCTTGTCCAGTCTTCATTACCTAAAAGAGTTTTCGGGAAAGAGTCAGTCTGTCCCTAAAACGGTGTGATAGCTTGAGACAGATCAGTCATGCACACAAAACAGCCCTGATGGTTACTGCTAAAAACCCTTCAGGCAAGACAAAATGAAGACGATGAATGCATCCTCATTACAAAGGATTTGCAGTTAAAGATCTGCAGTTGTGTAGCTGTTAAATTTACCCGAAGTACATTTCCTCTCTATCTGAACATTCTCAACTGAGCCGTCCATTGATTATTCAAAATTATTCCAAAGGATTTTGAGAAACTGAAAAAAAAATGACTTAATATTCATGCAGAAAATAAAACCGCTTCAGGCTTCCTGACACTCAGACAGAAGAGGAAGATCAGCACAACACACTTTACAGAGCGAAAAAACAGGCAGAGGAGTCTCCTATCAGAATATCTCTGCCCTGTCTGCTGTATCAGGAAGGCCGTAGTGTCCACATGCCGAGGAGCATGGATATAATTACACACATTTACTTAATAGGTTTTACATATTTGTATGCATGTTGTATCAATCTTTCTCCAACTGTAGCTGAACACTGGAAATGAAAAACAGCTACCAAAAAAATCCCAAAACTCAAACTCATGCAGAATGAGTAACAAACAATGTCGCCTTACTGTTTTCGATCATATATTCGACATAAAGGTTCTTATCTGCTCCCAGGAACTCCCAGCTGACAACAGCCCCATCCTCCCTCACAGAGGCGCTAAAGTTGCTGAAAGCTGGACCCACTGGACGCGCTGAGAGCATAGGAAAAGAACAGATGAGGAGGAGAAGATAGAGGAGACCCACGGCCATCTGAGGATTACTTCTGATGAACAGAGTGGGGTTACAGAGCTGTCACATGGATGATAACTGCAGAAAGATCGCTGAACTGCTCTGTCCTGCCCCCTATATCTACATCCCTATCTCAGAAATACAAGTGTAGGACAGGAATACACCAGCATGTGCTCAAACCCTAACCGTGAAACTCTCTACATCCACCAGCAGTTTCTAGGACAGATTTTCTGTCTACTATAAATATACCAGCATCTGGTGGTTTTCATGAGAGGATTATGTTTATCTGCAAGGTCGAACTCAAGGGCTCCCCCTTCCCTCCATCAAAATGATGGTCAGGTACATATACTGTATGCAGGAATTGCCAGGGCAAGAGTTCTCAAAATGTCCCTGATCAAACCGCACTTAACAGATCTGACGAGCTGTTACCCAGCTACACCCCCCCTGAACAGACCTGACGAGCTGTTACCCAGCTACACCCCCCCTGAACAGACCTGACGAGCTGTTAC